CTGGGGGTGCTGAGCCTGGGGGTACTGAGCTTGGGGGTGCGCAGCCTGGGGGTGCGGAGCCTGGGGGTGCTGGGTCTGCTCGTGTGGCCGCCGGCGGTACTTCGTCGAGGCGGGAGCCGCTCTCTTCACAGGAGCTGCGCGAGTGTTTCGCCCGCCGCTGGAGACATGCTGCTGAGTCTAGGGGTGCTGCGGGAGCTACTGGAGTTGGTCATACTGGAGCTGCTGTCGGTGCTGGTGCTACTGGAGGTGCAGCTGCTGGGGGTGTTGGCGCTGGTGTTTCTATTGGTGCTGGTGCGTTTGGGGGTACTGTTGAGGCTGCTGGTGCTGACGGTCCTAGTGGAGTTGGTGCTGCTGGAGCTGGTGCTGCTGGGGGTGTTGGCGCTGGCGGTGCTGCTGGCGCTGATGCTTCTGAGGGTGCTGGAGTTGGCGCTGTTGCAGCTTGAGGTGCTGCTGGCGCTGGTGCTGCCGCTGAGGGTACTGGTGCCGTCCTTGCTCGTTCTGGAGGCGCTGAGCGGCCAAGGCCGTACTTCGTTCCGCTCCTGGAGCAGGTTCTTGGTCTCTCGCCCTCTCCTGGTCCTGCTCCTCCCTTAGAGTGTCCACAGCCTGTCCAGTCGCAGTCACAGTTACAGCCCGCCTCCCCGCTACGTGCTCCTTCTCCCTACACTGGTCCTACTGGAGGTCTTGCTGAGCATCGTGAGCCTGCGTCTCATCCTGCGTCGCCTGTTCGTGCTGCTCGAACTAGTCGTCGTGCTGCGCGTCCGCGTCCTCCTGCGGTCCCCGGCACACACCAGATGGCAGTGCGTCCTTCCACTGCTCCTCTGCATGTCCCTTGGCCGTCTCCTCCAGAGTCCTCTCTTCCTTCTCTTGCTGACCCGGAGTCTGACTCCCTTCGTGCTGCTAGTCCTTCGGTCACGCGCCTTCTTGCTATTGTTCTCACTGACCCTTCCTTTGAGTCCATTGCTGCGTCTGCTCTAGTTGCTGAGCTTGTCGACTTCGCTGCTTGATGTCATCTAGACTACGCTGCCTGTCTCGTTGCTGAGTCTGAGTGTGTCTGTCCTCCGTCCGTCGGGGGTGAGTGTGCTCTTAGCACGGACGTCTTTGAGGACACGCAGGAGGAGCTCCAGTGCATAGCGGCTGCTTTGCTCCATCTCGTGTCCACGCTGATTGCCCCTCAAGGAGACCCGGATGCACCAGACATCCCGACTCCTCGATCGTACGCTGACGCGATCGAGGGTCCCTACTCCTCTCAGTGGCAGTCGGCCATGGACGCAGAGATGGCTTCCTGGAAGTCCACAGGCACCTACGTCGACGAGGTTCCCCCACCTGGGGCGAACATCGTGAGTGGCATGTGGATTTTCAGGGTGAAGCGGCCGCCGGGTTCTCCGCCTGTCTTCAAGGCGCGTTACGTGGCTCGAGGCTTCAGTCAGCGGCAGAGAGTTGACTACTTTCCGACCTTCTCTCCCACCCCGAAGATGACCACTCTTCGGGTGCTGCTGCACATAGCCGCTCAGCGCGACTACGAGCTTTACTCTCTTGACTTCATCACAACTTTCCTGCAGGGCAGCGTGCACGAGGAGATCTGGCTGCGCCGCCCTCCTGGCTTCACTGGGTCGTTTCCTCCTGGTACCCTGTGGAGCCTCCAGCGGCCAGTCTACGGTCTCCGCCAGGCGCCCCATGAGTGGCACGACACACTGAGGAATACACTTGCGGCTTTTGGGTTTACTCCTTCTACAGCCGACCCGTCGCTGTTTCTGCGCACCGACACCTCTCTGCCGCTGTTCTACATCCTCGTGTACCTCATTGCTGACACTGCTGGACTCGCCCACGTGAAGTCCGAGCTGCAGAAGAGACACACGTGCACAGACCTGGGTGAACTGCGCAGCTACCTTGGCTTGCAGATCACCCGGGACAGAGCACAGCGCACCATTACCCTGACTCAGTCACACATGGTGCAGCAAGTCCTTCAGCGCTTCGGCTTCGTGTACTCCTCGCCTCAGGCCACTCCTCTGTCTACTCGCCACTCGCTCTCAGCTCTGCCTCCGGATGAGTCCGTAGAGTCGAGTGGCCCGTACCCAGAGCTTGTTGGCTGCCTCATGTACCTGATGACCTGCACACGACCTGACCTTGCATACCCTCTAGCATCTTGGCCCGCTATGTTGCTCCTAGGAGACATAGACCAGAGCACATGGCTGCAGCGAAGAGGTTGTTGCGCTACGTGTGCAGTACGTTGGGCATGGGGCTAGTGCTTGGAGGGCGACGTCGAGTAGTCCTCACACGTCACGCTGACGCTTCTTGGGTTGACGACCAGGCTCTTCAGCGATCGTCACAAGGTTACACCTTCAGCCTTGGCTCCGGCTCTGTTTCGTGGCTGTTTACCCGCTGGTCTTCTGTTCTCAGCTCCAGCTGTGAGGCTGAGATCTACGCAGGGGCCATGGCTGCACAGGAGCTACGTTGGCTCACCTACCTGCTGAGTGACCTAGGAGAGCCGCCTCGTTCTCCTCTAGTTCTGTACGTAGACAACAAGGCCATGCTGGCCTTGTGTTTGGAGCACAGACTGGAGCACAGAACGAAGCACATTGCTCTCCGCTACTTCCTGGCTCGTGAGCTACAGCACTGTGGTTAGCTCCGTCTCATCTATGTGGTCTCTGAGGCCAACACTGCTGATATCTTCACCAAGGCCCTTCCGCCTTGTGATCATGAGCGCTTATGTACTTTGCTAGGTCTTGTGCCTACTTGGCCTCACTTGCTCACTTCTTGATCTTGTTTGTACTGTATTCTTTCTATACCTGCACTTGCTTGTTTACCTTTATATATATAATCTTGCATGTGAAATGGCCTTGTGGCGTTACTCTTGTGTTCGGACTGTGTGGTGACTTTGTGATCCACCCTAAGCTTTGCTTTGCTTTGCTTGACTGGTCTTGTGACCGCTTGTTCTCCCCCACTTTGCCTATGGGGGTTGTGACCGCTTGTTCTCCCCCACTTTGCCTATGGGGGTGTGTCAGAACATTATAGCTTATACATTTGTGTAGGCTGTAGTGGGGTAGCCCATAAAGGGTACAACCCAATTAGGGTTAGTACTTGTACCCAACTGTTTCATAGTTCATTCATCCATTCTCACTTCTCGTCACGTTTCATCTCCCTTTTTGTACAGCAGGACCGTAACCGCCTCGTTCACCACCTTCGGCAAATCCCCCGTCTCCATGAAATCCGTGACCATCTTCATCATTAGACCCTTCAACGACTCCCAGTGAACTTGGTACAGCTCCTTAGGTAACCCATCCTTCCCAGGGGACTTGTCATTCGCCAGCTCCCTTATCGCTTGTTTGACCTCCTTTTCTGTCCAGTCCCGGGTCAGCTCTTCTGCCGGTGCATCCTCCAGCACTCTCCGCAGCGACCACCGCAACAACCGCGCCTCATCCCCGCCTGAAGAGCCAACATCAAACGCCATCTTGAAGTGCCTTATGGCCTCACGGAGCACAGCCTTCGCATCGGAGTAGCTAACCCCATCTCGTACCAGCTCCTTAATACTCGTCTTTGCCTCTCTGCTCTACACCAGGGCAGAGAGCAGGGCGGTCGGCGCTTCTCCGTCAATTTGCACCATTAACCGCGTCCGTGTCTGTAGCAGGTTCCTCCGACCATCCCAATACCTCCTCAGCATCGCCTCCCGGGTGGTCAGTAGAGCCTGCAGCTCATCATCCTCCGGGTCCGCCATGACCCTGCACTGCAACGTGTCCACTTGCGATTCTAAAACTCTCCGCGTGCGGGCTCAGAATTTTGTAAAACTCAAATTAGAAGTGTTTTATAACTGACGTGTTCCCCTTGCTATGAATATATGCAATATCCTGATAGTAAAAAAGACGCATGAGCGAAATTTATCTGTGCGTGCTTCGTAGAAAAACTTAGCTTTAGAAAAGTGGAGCACGAATGATTTTTTTTTTGGGGTAGCCCATAAGGGGTACAACCCAATTAGGGTTTGTACTTGTACCCAACTCTTTCATAGTTCAATCATTCTCTCGTTCCATTCTTCACATGGTATAGAGCTGGTTCCCTCGTGGGAACTGTTCCTAGGGCCCACCAAACTTTTTTTTCCTACCTGGAGCACGCTTGGCCCCTGCCCGAGTTGCGCCCTGAGTCGTCGCGCCGCCCTTGCGGCCCCGTTGCGCCGCCCTTGCGGCCCCGTTGCGCCGCCCTTGCGGCCCCGTCGTGCCGCCCTTGCGGCCCCGTCACGCCACCCTTACGCGGCCCCGTCGCGCCGCCCTTGCGGCCCCGTCGCGCCGCCCCTTACGCGGCCCCGTCACGCCGCCCTTGCGGCTCTGTCACGCCGCCCTTGCGGCCCCGTCGCGCCGCCCCTTACGCAGCCTCGTCGCCGCCCTTCTCTTCGGCCCCATCGCCACCCTTTCACGGCGTCGCCGCCCGCTCTTACAGCGGCCCCGTCGCCCGCCCTTCAGCGGCCCCGTCGCCCGCCCTTACAGCGGCCCCACCGCCGCCCGCCCTTTCAGCGGGCCCCGTCGCCGCCCTTTCAGCGGCCCGTCGCTGCCCTTCCCTCGGCCCGTCGCCGCCCTTTCAGCGGCCAATCGTCACCCTTCCAGCGGCCTGTCGCCGCCCTTTCAGCGGCCCTGTCGCCGCCCTTCCATGGCCTCGTCGCTGCCTGAGCCGCCCGACCGCCGAGCCGCCCGACAGCCGAGCCGCCCGATCGCCGAGCCGCCCAGCAGCCGAGCCGCCGAACCGCCGAACCGCCCAGCAGCCGAGCTGCCCGACCGCCGAGCCGCCCAGTAGCCGAGCCGCAGAGCAGCCGAGATGCACTGCAGCCGAGCCGCCCAACGGCCGAGCCGCCCAGAAGCCGAGCCGCCTGACGGCCGAGCCGCCGAGCCGCCAAGCAGCCGAGCCGCCCGACCGCCGAGTAGCCAAGCCGCCCGACCGCCCCACTTGCCTGGTAAGAGCAGAGTCTCTGCCACTACACTGCCCTGCCCCACTGTACTCACTGCCTGTCTACTGCTGTTATGGCCTCCCCTAGCGTTCTCACCTTTGACGCTGAGGGCCGAGCAGTTGACTTTGAGGTCTGGGTAGATGATCTGCAGCTTTTCCTACAGTGCGATAGGGCAGACGGCCTCTCCTTGTTTGACCTCACTTCTGGTGCCTCTCCTGCCCCTACTGCTGATGCTGAAGCCACTGTTTGTTCACAGTGGGCCACGCGCGATGCTGCTGCTCGCCTTGTTGTGCGCCGCCACTTACCGGCCACTGAGCGTAAACACTTTAGCCATTACAAGAGTGCTCAGACCTTGTATGACGCTGTAGTTGCACGCTACTCTTCCCCTGCCACTACTGCACTGAGCCGCCTCATGCTACCGTACCTCTTCACTGACCTTGCTGCCTTTCCCACAGTCGCTGACCTCATTATGCACCTCCGCACTAGTGACACTCGCTACCGCGCTGCGCTTCCTGCTGAGCTCTATGCCAAGAACCCCCCCCCATGTACATCACCCTCTACTACATAGTCACCCGGCTCCCTGACTCTCTCTGCGTAGTCAGGGACCACTTCCTCTCAGTTTGCCCCACCACTTCACCGTTGACCTCCTCGAGAAGGCCCTCCTAGCAGCAGAGAAGAGCATAGTCGCTGTAGGAGCCTCTTGTAGTGACCCTCGCACCCCCGTCTTTGAGGGGTGTTCTCCCTCCCCCCTCCTACCCTCTGTTGCCTCTGCTGCTACGGCCGACCTCGTTGGTTTCGAGTCGGTCAGTGCTGCGTCTGCCCCAAGCGAGAGACGCCGCACCAGCAAGGACAAGGAGGGCAAGGGCACTGGAGGGGCTGGAGGGGGCGGTGGAGGTGGTGGTGGAGGCAGTGGAGGGGGTGGGGGTGGTGGTGGGAGTGGTGCCGGGGGTGGCGGCGGCGGCGGCAGCAGTGGAGGAGGCGGAGGCGGTGCAGGTGGCGGAGGGAGCAGAGGCGGCGGAGGTGGCGGAGGTGGAGGAGGCGGCGGAGGCGGCGGTGGCGGCGGCGACGACGGTAGTGGAGCGGGTCGCGACTCTGCGCAGAGGAGTGGCACCGGTGGTGGTCAGCGCCAGCAGCAGCAGCAGAGTGGTGTGACCCTGTCCCCTCAGCAGCTTCGTGAGTGGTACTCTGTGCGTCAGCGCGGTGGAGTTTTTGGTCCCTGCACTTACGTCCTCCGTTCCGGCGACCGCACTAGTGAGCAGTGCGGAGGCCCGCACTCCACCCAGCGCTGCTTTGTTCGCCTGACGGACGCGTGGCGTCTCCAGTTCCATGAGGCGTTAGAGATCCCTCGCTGGGGAAATCTGACTAAGGCCGGGGTTGCTATCTTTGATCTTGACTTTGATGCTATTCTTGCTGCCATGTATGATGTTGAAACTAGTGTTGACGGTGCCTGTTACCTGTGTGTACCGCCTGACCCGGGCATTGAGGCCGCTGCTCTAGGTGCTGGTGAGGCCGGTGCTCTAGGTGCTAGTGCGTCTGCTGCCCTAAGTGCCAGTGCGTCTACCGCCCCAGGTGCTGGTGAGTCTGTTCTCTCAGGTACTACATCGGCTTAGACCTTCCACACCTTCACCCTGGACTCGGGTGCGTCCCGCTCCTTCTTTCGAGACCGCACCACTCTTACGCCGCTCAGTCGGCCGGTTGTAGTCTCCCTGGCAGTCCCCTCTGGGGGTCATGTCCTTGCTAGCTTCTCCACTGTCCTACCGTGCCCGGCAGCCCCCTCTCGCACCCTGTTTGGTCTCTACCTCCCCTCGTTCTCTACGAACTTGGTGAGTGGAGCGGACCTACAGGATATGGGGGTTGACCAATTCACTCGTGCGAGTCAGCGAGTGACCAACTGCACGTGTGCTCGGACAGGCCGACACTTGGCCACGTTCACCCGTCAGCCAGGGTCAAGCCTGTACACCCTTACTACTGAGTCTCCTCCTACTGCTGACTCTGTCGAGGTAGCTGCTTCGAGTCAAGTGTTTGTTGCGGCGTCCAGGTCTGGTCCTGAGTCTGCCCCCTGCTCATGTCGTGTGCCCGTCTGGGAGCCTTCTGTCGTGCACAGGGCATCCGCCAAACCTTCACGCTTCCGGCCTCTCCACAGCAAAATGGGATTGCTGAGCACCGCATTGGCATGGTCATGGACGTCGCTCGTACGTCCATGATGCATGCGGCTGCCCCCCATTTTCTGTGGCCGTTTGCAGTTCAGTACGCCGCGCATCAGCTCAACCTTCAGCCCCGGGTCTCCTTGCAAGAGACCTCCAGTGGACCTTGCGGGGGCCTTGCGGTGGACCGGGAAGGTTGGCGATGCTTCTGCGTTTCGGGTCTGGGGATCTCCGGCGTTTGTCCGTGACTTGTCTGCGGACAAGCTGTCCCCCCGTGCTGTTCCCTGCGTCTTCCTTGGCTTCCCCCCTAACGTGCTGCTAGAGGTGCTGAGCCTGCGGGTGCCGGGTTTGGGGGTGCTTAGTCTGGGGGTGCTGAGTCTGGGGGTGCTAAGACTGGGGGTGCTGAGCCTCGGGGTGCTGAGCCTGGGGGTGCTGAGCCTGGGGGTGCGGAGCGTGGGGGCACTGGGTCTGCTCGTGTGGCCGCTGGCGGTGCTACGTTGAGGCGGGAGCCGCTCTCTCCACAGGAGCTGCGCGAGTGGTTTGCCTGCAGCTGGAGACGTGCTGCTGCAAGTGGGGGTGCTACTGGGGCTAGTGGAGTTGGTCCTGCTGGAGCTGCTGACGGTGCTGGTGCTGCTGGAGCTGGAGCTGCTGGGGGTGTTGACACTGGTGTTTCTACTGGCGTTGGTGCTTCTAGGGGTGCTGCTGGGGCTACTGGAGTTTGTCCTGCTGGAGCTGCTGGCGGTACTAGTGCTGCTTGAGCTGGAGCTGCTGGGGGTGTTGGCGCTGGTGTTTCTACTGGCGCTGCTGCGTGTGGGGGTGCTATTGAGGCTGCTCGAGTTGACGGTCCTACTGGTGTTGGTGCTGCTCGAGCTGGAGCTGCTGGGGGTGCTGGCGCTGGTGGTGTTGCTGGCGCTGGTGCTTCTGAGGGTGCTGGACTTGGCGCTGGTGGAGATGGAGGTGCTGCTGGCGCCGGTGCTGCTGCTGGGGGTACTGGTGCCGTCCTTGCTGGTTCTGGAGGCGCTGAGCGGCCGAGGCCGTACTTCGTTCCGCTCCTGGAGCAGGTTCTTGGTCTCCCGCCCTCTCCTAGTCCTGCTCCTTCCTTAGAGTGTCCACAACCTGTCCAGTCGCAGTCACAGTTACAGCCCGCCTCCCCTCTACCTGCTCCTTCTCCCTACACTGGTCCTACTGGAGGTCTCGCTGGGCGTCGTGAGCCTACGTCTCGTCCTGCGTCGTCGGTTTGTGCTGCTCGCACTAGTGGTCGTACTTCGCGTCTGCGTCCTCCTGCGGTCCCCGGCACACACCAGATCGCACTGCGTCCTTCCACTGCTCCTCTACGTGTCCCGTTGCCGTCTCCTCAAGAGTCCTCTCTTCCTTCTCTTGCTGACCCGGAGTCTGACTCCCTTCGTGCTGCTAGTCCTTCGGTCACACGCCTTCTTGCTACTGTTGTCACCGACCCTTCCTTTGAGTCCACTGCTGCGTCTGCCCTAGTTGCTGAGCTTGTCGACTTCGCTGCTCGCTGTCGTCTAGACTACGCTGCTAGTCTTATTGCTGAGTCTTAGTCTGTCTGTCCTCCGTCCGTCAGGGGTGAGTGTGCTCTTAGCACGCACGTCCTTGAGGACAGGCAGGAGGAGTTCCAGTGCTTTGCTGCTGCTTTGCCCCATCTCGTGTCCACACTGATTGCCCCTGAGGGAGACCCGGATGCACCAGACATCCCGACTCCTTGATCGTACGCTGAGGCGATCGAGGGTTCCTACTCCTCTCAAAAGCAGTCAGCCATGGACGCAGAGATGGCTTCCTGGAAGTCCACAGGCACCTACGTCGACGAGGTTTCTCCACCTGGGGCGAACATCGTCAGTGGCATGTGGATTTTTAGGGTGAAGCGGCTGCCGGGTTCTCTGCCTGTCTTCAAGACGCGTTACGTGGCTCGAGGCTTCAGTCAGCGGCAGGGAGTTGACTACTTTCAGACCTTCTCTCCCACCCCGAAGATGACCACTCTTCGGGTGCTGCTGCAGATAGCCGCTCAGCGCGACTACGAGCTTCACTCTCTTGACTTCAGCACGGCTTTCTTGCACGGCAGCCTGCACGAAGAGATCTGGCTACGCCGCCCTCCTGGCTTCACTGGGTCGTTTCCTCCTTGTACCCAGTGGAGCCTCCGACGTCCAGTCTATGGTCTCCGCCAGGCGCCCCGTGAGTGGCACGACACACTGAGGACTACACTTGCGGCTCTTGGGTTTGCTCCTTCCACAGCCGACCCGTCGCTGTTTCTGCGCACCGACACCTCTTTGTCGGCGTTCTATATCCTCGTGTACGTCTACGACTTGGTCTTTGCCACTGCTGACACTACTGGACTCGCCCACGTGAAGTCCGAGCTGCAGAAGAGACACACATGCACAGACCTGGGTGAACTGCGCAGCTACCTTGGCTTGCAGATCACCCGGGACAGAGCACAGCGCACCATTACCCTGACTCAGTTACACATGGTGCAGCAGGTCCTTCAGCGCTTCGGCTTCACGTACTCCTCGCCTTAGGCCACTCCTCTACCTACTCGCCACTCGCTCTCAGCTCTGCCTTCGGATGAGTCCGTAGAGCCGAGTGGCCCGTACCCAGAGCTTGTTGGTTGCCTCATGTACCTGATGACCTGCACACGACCTGACCTTGCATACCCACTTAGCATCTTGGCACGCTATGTTGCTCCTGGGAGACACCGACCAGAGCACATGGCTGCAGCGAAGAGGGTGTTGCGCTACGTGTGCAGTACGTCGGGCATGGGGCTAGTGCTTGGAGGGCGACGTTGAGTGGTCCTCACAGGTCACGCTGACGCTTCTTGGGCTGAGGACCAGGCTCTACAGCGGTCGTCACAGGGTTACACCTTCAGCCTTGGCTCCGGCTCTGTTTCGTGGCGGTCTACTCGCTCGTCTTCTGTTCTCAGCTCCAGCTGTGAGGCTGAGATCTACGCAGGGGCCATGGCTGCACAGGAGCTACGCTGGCTCACCTACCTGCTGACTGACCTAGGAGAGCCGCCTCGTTCTCCTCCAGTTCTGTACGTAGACAACAAGGCCATGCTGGCCTTCTGTCGGGAGCACAGACTGGAGCACAGAACGAAGCACATTGCTCTCCGCTACTTCCTAGCTCGTGAGCTGCAGCAGCGTGGTCAGCTCCGCCTCACCTACGTGGCCTCTGAGGCCAATACTGCTGATATCTTCACCAAGGCCCTTCCGCCTTGTGATCATCAGCACTTCTGTACTTTACAAGGTCTTGTGCCCACCTGGCCTCACTTGCTCACTTCTTGATGTTATTTGTACTGTCCTCTTTCTATGCCTGCACTTGCTTGTTTACCTTTATATATATGATCTTGCATGTGAACTAGCCTTGTGGCTTTACTCTTGTGCTCGGACTGTGTGGTGACTTTGTGATCCACCCTGAGCTTGCTTTGCTTTGCTTGACTGGTCTTGTGACCACTTGTTCTCCCCCACTTTGCCTATGGGGGTGTGTCAGAACATTATAGCTTATACATGTGTGTAGGCTGTAGTGGGGTAGCCCATAAGGGGTACAACCCAATTAGGGTTAGTACTTGTACCCAACTCTTTCATAGTTCAATTATTCTCTCGTTTTATTTTTCACACATCATTCGGCGGGCACCTATCCACGAAGCGACCAAGCCTTCGTCGGCCTGTAGGCGGGAACATGCCTGCGTGATATCATCTCGGGCGACGCGATGAGCACTGCTTTGTCATGCCGACGTGTAAGCACGATAACGAAGGTCTCCGAGCGGAGAGTCGGTTGCGAAACAGATATGCGTGCACCGTGCCACGTCGACCAGAACGCCGCCGTTGTGCTGTGTATGCAGGGTTTGAGACCTGGCCACGGATTGCCCGCCAACACCTGTCTGCACGAACCGCGACGGTGGCACTCTCTGCTATGACCCACCAACGGCCATCTGTCTTTGCCATTTCGTCTTTTGCTTTTTGCGTTCCATTCACATTTATTCTAGGAAGCCACGCTCTCGCATTCATTCCCTTAGTCATTTTCACGCAACTCTGAGACCGACCGACCTCGCGTGGTGCATGGTCGACGACGACGACACACCGGTGTACAGGGTGCGTTCAGGTAGGCAAACTCTCCGGGCTGCTGACTTCGGATTATTTTGCGGTATTACCCTAGGATAACTAGCTAGGTCGACATTATTCGAACGTGGCGGACGTCTTTCTTCGTAGCCTGAACCAGATCATCTTCGCCATTAAACCCCAGGACGGCCTCGAATGGCCAGGGACTAGTCTAACAACATCCCGCATAACAACACCCGGACGAACAACACCCCGACCAACAACACCCCCCCCGCCCAACCCCGCCCCGAACAACACCCCGCTGAACAACACCATGCCACTTAACACCCCGCCGACCACAACCACGCCGAACAACACCCCGCAGAACACCAATCCGCCGCCCGAAGGTTCTGAAGGGCCGATATTGCGGCAGAGTTGACGATCGCTGAGAGGGCCGCCTTTAGGGCCTCAGTGCGAAGGCAATGCACGGCAGTGATTGTGCAGTATCGCCTTTGGACGGCCTACCGCCGCGAGACCGCATCGACAACTAGATGCCGACGGGAACAACTTTACCCACCGAGATGGCACGCGTCATGCCGCCGGCGGTGAACAGCGCGATTCCCGACCTGAACGAGCCTTACTTGGTGGTGGATGTAGACGCCGCTAGGGCAAACATTCGCGCCGACCCGACCATCCCCCTACCGCCAGGGACGAAAGGGGCTCCCCAACCCGAGCCGGACCCGGAGGCGGCTTCGGCCACGGAGCAGCTGCCGCCGATTGGCCCATTTCTAGAAAACGACATGGAGTACCTTGTCAGAGGTCCACTGGTGATCCCTGATTGATCCTAGGGAAGGGTTACAGGCACGTTGGCCTGGGGGGTTATGGGCGCACTCACCCGCTACACAAATAAGCCCTTTTATCCCAGTGGTTAGTGGTTGGGATTCTGACATGGTATCAAAGCAAAGGTCTCGGGTTCGAATCCTAGTGTGTGCACTTCAGGCATCCCAGTGCAAGGGGGGTGTCAGAGGTCCACTGGTGATCCTCGATTGATCCTAGGGAAGGGTTACAGGCATGTTGGTCTGGGGGGTTATGGGCGCACTGAACCGCTACTTAACAATCCCTTTTATCCCAATGGTATAGTGGTTGGGATTCTGACATGGTATTAGAGCGAAGGTCTCGGGTTCGAATCCCAGTGTGTGCACTTTGGGCATTCCAGTGTGGGGGGGTGTCAGAGGTCCACTGGTGATCCCCGATTGATCCTAGGGAAGGGTTATAGGCACGTTGGCTTGGGGGGTTATGGGCACACTTACCCGCTACACAAATAAGCCCTTTTATCCCAGTGGTTAGTGGCTTGGATTCTGACATACCTGACCATAGAGGATTTGTTGGCAGCCGACGAAAAATATGACGACTTCTTGCAAACATCCCGTGCGACGATTTTGCGGAAGCCGCCTTCGACATCAACAAAGAGCTCGCCAAGAAGAACAGATTGCTGAGGATGCTCTGGGGTATGCCGCATTTGGACACGCTGGAGGCGGGAACGACCCGCCTTCAGTACCTTCGGGCGCTTCTCGACTTCAAGAGATGGTGCTGTAAGGAACTTCCAAAACAAAAACCCGCCAGAATCAAGGGGGACGGCGTGCTGGAGCACGAGGACAAGATAGGGAGGTACATCGACGACGACATGGGTGATCTGTGGTACACCGCCAAGGACGACCTCCTTTGGATGCACGGTCCACGCGTCAACGCCACGCGGATTAGGGCGTACATTCTGTCAATCGCCAGACATAAGGGTGTTGCAAAGGCCGAGGAGCTCGAGGAGCTGAACCCTAACGTCCGTGTCCAGCCTCTGAAGGCGACAACCATTTCGATGCTGCTCATGCGCATCAAAGCGCTCCAAACGGCATGCAAGGTCGAGGGGACGCTCTAGGGTGCTAAGGAGCTCCACATCATGTACGACATCTCCGAGGTCTGCTCGAAGGTGCGCGCGATGGTCAGAGAGAAGTGGCACAGGGACGACAGGTAAGTCGGCAAGTAGTCCAGCGCGGTTCACGCATGCTTTCCTGTTCGCTGAGCTAACCCTGTCCTCATCGGAACTGATGTGCATGGATTGCGTCGACCGGCACCGCGGAACGCTCGGCGACACGTACACCACCGACCAGATCCGCCACCTCATGTTCAAGGTGCTGCCGACCTGGGCGGTGCGGGCGTACGAACCCAAGGCGGTCTCCCCCTCCCAAACGATGTGGAAGTTCCTGTTGATGAAGACGATGACACTCCTGGGTCACCATACCCTTCTCCGCGGAGCCAGCCTCTGAGCAATCAAGCTCCGCGACTTGTTCTTGTACAGAATGGGGAGCACGACGCTCGAGCACTCAACGCCACGACCGGTTGTAATGGTCGTCGCGTCACGAAACTCCAAGACAAACAAGGATGCTCGTCTGCACCACAGCTACGCGGCGAGACACCTGGAGCAGGAGATGTGCGCCGTCGTCCACACACTGTTGTGGCTGCACTTCATTTACGACCAGCTGAGCCGGTCGCCCACCTCTCGACTTGTGCCGCCCCTCGATTTCAGTACTCCGTACATGTGGTACCACAAGCACATCTTTCATGCTCGGAATGACAAGACACAAAAACAACTGTTGGCTTCATCTCATTCTCGGATCACGAAGGAGATGTGGCGGACGAACAAGATCTTCATCACGCGCAACACCCATGCCGCCCAGGCGGGTGGGGCACAGGAGGTGGCCGACAATGGGGTTCCGCGATCTGACATCGCCGACTTGGGCCACTGAGCGCTCGACAAGCTTGCGAAGAGCTACATCACGACCATCCCGAAGGCGGCGGTGTTAAGAAAGGCCGGCTACACGGGCAAGCGGGGCGACTACTACCTCAGCCGCAGCATGGTAAAGCCTGACGACAAGGTGGTGGCCCTCATCGCTCGACATATCTTTTTGTGGGCGGAAGCGGAACTGTCCAAGGTGAGAAATTCATACGCCCAAAACGCCGAATACCCGCCACCCTTTTCCACGCCGACATTCCACCGACGGTTGATTGTGTTTCTGTTTGTGTTCGTCTCTAAGGCGGAAAAGTGCGCCACGAGGAGAGAACCCAACACGGCCGGGATGCACTTCCTGCAATCGTTCATCAAGTTCGGCCGCCGCATCGTCGCCGAGGATCTTGCGTGCATGCTGATGCGCGAGCCGTGGCACCCATACGTCCATAGTTCCAAGCTCTGCCGCATCCCCGACTTCCAGAAATGGGCCAAGGACATCAACCGGATGGACCTCAAAACCATTGCCACGCGCCGTACTCCGAGCGAGAACCCCCAAGAGGTACGGCATGCGCGTTCCGGCGACGACTAAAACAAGTCGTCCGCCTTCATTCGCTGACCGTTTGCCGCCCATCCCCCTTGGATCGCAGGAATTTAGTGCGCGAGTCAACGCCGAACATCAGGTCGACCAGCTCACCATGATGCTACACCGCCAGAGGGAGGATGCCGCGATCGAGAAGCTTGAGATGCAGAAGAAGTTGGAGGAGAAGAACACCGAGATCGCGAGGTTGATGCAGGCTCTCAAGCTGGCCGAGGCACGGACGACGCCGACTGCGCCGGCGCCGTCAGGGCCGATGACCGACGCCGAGAAGGCAGCGGCCGTCAAGATTGAGAAGGAGCAGGACGACGACCTCATGTACGAGGTGAACGTCGTGCATCCCTGGCGCACGTCCAAGACGGTCGAGGCTGCCTGGCGCTGGTGGAACAACCCGTCGCACGTGGAAGCGTGGCCTTTGTGCGAAGGTTACAAGGAGCCCAGATTCCTCGTCAGACACACGCCCAAGTTACGAGGAGAAGGCCGACAAACCCGCAGTGTCGGCGAAATCGGCGAAGAGCTCTCGTGGCCGCAAAGTGCCAACCGACGATTGTCCCATAACCGTGGTGGGAGAGACGGGGAAAAACGATGCGCTGCAGATTTCCACGCGCCGGATGAAGCGGATCATGGAAATCGTGCACTTCTTGCGGCGGAGCGACAACGACGTTGAAACCGCCGCCGTGGTCAAGCTACTCGACCACCTGGGGCGGGCGGGTCTTTCTACTTTCAACGACGCTCTCATGGTCCTCCGTGCGACCACGCCCATGAAGGTCCTGACCACAGCCGACGGAAAGCCGACCAGCATCAAGGGTCTGGACAAGCCGCAGTACAGGAAGCTGGCCGTTGTGTGGGGCGTTGTCTCGGCGGGCTACGCCGACCCTAAATGGGGGAAGGATATATTTGGCGGGGAAGAGCAGGCCAAGAAGGTCGGCTTGGAGGCCAAGACGACCGCGGGAGCAAGGGCGGAGAGCTCCGGCCCTGGGAAACGCAAGAGGGCGAGTTGAGGGTAGTCCGTCCGTGTGCGACTGAGGGTGGGCTGACGGCAGGCTGAGGGTTGGCTGAAGGCAGGCTGAGGGCGGGCTTAGGGTAGGCTGAAGGCGGGCCGGGGGTGTCCGACTAGTGCTTGTGAAACGACGTGTTGTTGTTTTTACTTTTGCCAATGTTTGACCGACTAGTTGTTCAATTTTTTTTGTCTCTTGTAAATGCATCAAACCGACTTCACAAAGAAACCGACGATCATGTTCAAAATTGCTAAATAGGAGAGGCAAAACAAAACTACACAACAACACGCACAAGCGACCCTAACCAAAGACGAAGCGCCTGCTAGGTCTTCGTCGGAGAGCCTGCAGCGTTTGCACCAACGCCGACCAAGACAACAGCATTCGAGCCAGCGTTCGTCGACCTAAGCGTTAGTCGTCTGCTTCCCTTTGTGCTGCCCCCTCGCCCCCCTGTCCCAAACGATCGTCTTCATGTCGGCGTCAATAGGCAAAACTATGCCGCGAGCTTTGAGTTTAGGGCCGCCGACACAGCAGTCCCCCCAGAAGGCGAGGTTCTCAAACATGACGCAGGCGATCAGCTCGTCGTGGTCACGCTCGTCCCCGTCCTCAGGCAGCAACCTCAGCACAGCGCCTTGCAGGTCCTTCGTCACCATGCCGGCGACCTCTCCTACGACGACCTCCCGGGACGACGCTCGTTGAAGCACCACCTCGATGACGCTCTTACACCGACTCGCAAACTCAGAGGACGCTCCGCGCACAGTCGCTGCCGCCCCCCCTTCGCCGGCCGCTGCTTCCGCCGAGGCATTGGTCTCCAAAAAGCACCACACTGCGCACGCAGTCCCGGCCAGGATCTCGGATAACTGTTCTGACTCGACGCCCGGGATGGGCGTGACTTTCGCGGCCACAGGTGCGAAGGCGGCACACATCAAAGCACGTGTGATCATGTCGCTCGCCACCTTATTCTTTGCGGCCTTCTCGGGCTTGGTCGACTCTAGAAGGTCGCCGAACCACACCGCCGGACGAAGAGCCACCATGAGAGCTGCGCGGTTGGCGGCGGTTATCCTGTTGTACTCCGCAACCACCTCTTGGAACCTGCGAAACACAGCAGCACGACCCACCGTCACCGAAACGAAACGCGCACCGACCGAAACGAGCACCTAATTGAGCATTCGCCAAGCTTACCTGTCGCGGAAGACGTTTGCGCCTTGGTTTCACATGACCGTCCACATGTCGTCCGGAATCAATCGCACCACATTCCAGTCCGACTTATACTGCTCGATCACATCCTCCTTGACACCAACGAACTCGGCGAGAATCACATCGCTCACGTAGCCGTCGAACGATGAAACGGCGACCGCGATGTAGTAGGTGGCCTCAGACTTGTCCATTGACTGGCAAATGTTACGGCTCTTCTTCCCAAACTTCATCTCCGACGTGGCCAGCCCCGTCTCCTTGTCAACGCGGACGCCTGAACCCTTCCAACCCTGCGTGACCGCTTTAGACGTCGCCTTGGAAGGGTCGGATTTCGCCTTGCCCTTGCGCGTTTGCTTCCCGTCACCGACCTCACCGGTTGTGGCCGAGGGGGATTTGGCGCCAGTCGTGCTAGGGTCCTCCGCAGGTGTAGACGAGGCGGCGGGTGTACCCTGTTGCGCTCCCACAGTGGGAGCTGCTGCTTTTAGTTTCTCCCGCATGACCTTGATTTCAGGGTTCGGCATCACGATACTGGCAAGGATCTCGGGGTCCACCCCGCCGGCCCCCGCCGGCCTCTTCCACCATTCTCCAAATAGCCGTCTCCTCCGTTGTGACGATCGGCCCTGTAGTTGCCGCCGTGACATTCGCTGTCTCTGCTCCTCGGTCGACCGCCTGGTTGCTGGGTGTCGGAGGAATATCCGAGGTTTTCTGACCCTGATCCTCGAGCCATTTCAGATACTCATCCCACGATGGCCTCCGAGTGATAAGAGCCTCGATCGCCTGAGCCTCAACAACCTTAGGGATTGGGATCGGTTCCACGCCGACCATGGCCCCATGAACGGGTAAGCTGGCCGCACCGGCAGTGCCCGTGGTAGGCGGAGGCGGGTTCGGCAGCGATACGGTCCTTTGGGCAGTACCCGCTTTGGTCGGCACTGCTGCCGTCGCAGACACAATCACCGATGTGGCAGCCTCGACCACGCCGCTGGGTAGAACGCCTGTCGCTCGCTGGTCAGGGCGGAAAGACTTGTCGGCCATCTGTGCCGTGACGTCACCACCCGGTCGCGCGCTACTGGCACTCGCCGGACTCATCGCGATATGGGGATGCTGTCCCGCCCCGTCCTGCTCGACATGCCTTCCGATCACCGCTGCTGGGCGCAAGAGCTCGTCGACCAGGAACGCCGTGACGGCCACCCGGTCGCGCGTCTTGTGCAGTCGTCGTGCTCGTCGAGGGGTGAAGATGTTGGCCCGCAACGGGCTGCCCGCCCTGCTGGCCGACCACCGCTGCGGGGCGCAGGAGGTCGTCGGCCAGCTGCGGTGTGACGCCAGTTGGTCGCGCAATCGCCGTACTCGTCGAGGGCTGAACATGCTGGCCCGCAACAGGCTCCCCGCGCGGATGGCCGACCACCGCTGCGAGGTGCAGTAGTTCATCGGCCATCTGTGCCGTGCCGCCGCTCGGTCGAGCGCCTTGTGCAGTCGTCGGACTGGCCTCGGGCTGTGGATGCTGGTTCGCCAATGGCTGCCAGCCCTTCTTCCCGACCACGGATACGCTTCCCAGGAGCTCGTCGGCCAGATTCGCCTGATCACAGCTCGATGGCGTGTCGTGTGCGCTCGGCGGATCGGTCGCGGCCTATGGCTGCTTGTCCCCCACGGACTGCCCGCCGGTCTTCCCTACCACCGAAGCTGGATCCTGGAGCACGTCGTCGACCTATCAAAAATCGGCGCTCGGTCGCGCGCCAAGTCCCTCTTTCAGCAAGTCGTGGACGCCGGGGACACGAACATACGGAGCGGCAGGAGGATCCACGGCCACACCGCGTTTCACCTCAGGTCCTCTACTTCGCTTAGTGCCGCTGGTCTGCTCGCCAGTCAGGGATTTTTCGTCAGCGACCCTTTTCCCGCATTGCCTTGGCGCCAGCCCATGCTCCTTGGCAGTAGAGTGACCACCGTGTATCACCGATGCGAGAGCAGTTGGGAGGAGGCTAAACCCGGCGGTACCAAGGCCCTGTTGGGTCGCAGAGGTGACCGCCTTCACCAGGTCGTCCCTAAGCTCTTGAGCGACTTTCGCAGTCACGGTGGCGGCGATCCCCTGCGCCTCGCTCTCCATGGCGGCCTTCATCTCAGCAGATACGGCGGTTTTGATCTTCTCGCCCAGAGCATCTGCCACACCTCGCAATAGCAGGACGTCGTCTTTCCGTCGCCTATTGTTTGCAGCAGAAGCCGTCAAGTGCAGGGCCTGTACGGTGGGCAGCCACTTCGCGTTCATGAATTCTAGGGTGGAGCCACGATAGTTCACCGCCTCCTGCACGACCTCCCTCATAGCAGCCACCGCCGTTTGGAGGCTCCTCCTCGACGTCTACTCGTGAGAGGTCATGGAGTCAGCGTCAGTCGTGAGCTTGTTCAGGGCCGAGGTGACCACGCCGAATAGCGTGTCCATCCGGGCCGTCTGGAACTCCAGCCTCTTCTCCGCCACCAGCTTCTCCTCCCTCAGCTTCTTGTTTTCCCTCTCCGCCGCCTTCATACGCTCAATAGCTGCCTTTGACGCCATCCTAGTCGTGGTCGAGCCACCGCTGCCCCACGCCTTCTTGCCCGACTTGGGTCCGCTGCCGCTGCTCTTATCCGCAACTTTCTCACCGGTGAACTGTACTGCCTCCTCTTCGCCGGTGACCATCACGTCGTCGTCCTCACGCTCCTCGTCCTCCTCCTCCTCGTCTGTGCCACCGTCCTACTCCCCGCCCCTCTCCTCGTCCTCCCTCTCGTGCTCCTCCTCGCCGCCATCTGTGGGTCCGGGCCCGCCAGAGTGCGACCCCACCTTAGCCTCCTCGTCCTCCCCACCCAGAGTGATTCCGGTTCCGACGCCACGACCCACGGTCGACGCCTCCCGTGTGTTCAGCGCGGCCCTCTCCACGTGGTGCACCAGCTCCAGTCAGAGCGCCTTCACGCCGACCAGCTTCGGGTTCTCGACAATGAGCGGATCGTAGCTGCGATGCACGTCGTCCTGATGGTCCAACGACCACGCGAACGGGTTGACCGCCAGCAGCCCCGTGCCTACGACCTCCTGCCTGAGGATGTCGGGCAATTTCTGCATCAACATCCGAAGCACATGGCGACGACGATAGCCCAGGCAACAAGGCGACATTGACGTCGGAAACTCACATTACGGATGGGGGCGGCAAGACTCTCCAGACGTGCGGAGAGGACTTAGGCAGAAGGAGCCTTAGCCGTCCACTTCCTTCCCTCACGGTTTAACTCCGCCTTCACGGCTTCGCCGAAAAACCTGCGCAAGTACGAGACGGAAAAGAGCCATCAGACACGGCGGCATCGCCGAAAAACCTGCGCAAGTACGAGACGGAAAAGAGCCATCAAACACGGCGGCATAATCGCCGTTAGGGAGCAGCGTGACTAGACTGTGACGTTGTCTCACCTCAAAACGTTGGCCGCCTCCTCCTCGTGCAGCTTGGAGGAGGTCTTGGGGTCGAGGTGGCGGTAGAAGGTCCCGATCTGCTCCTCGTCGGGCAAAACCAGGTCTCCAGTGCGCACAACAAGCAGGACGTTGCAGTGCCTGCCGGGAAGAGGTCCGCCCCTGCACACACAAGAGGCATGACGAAGACATTCAAGGTTCTGTCCGGGAACAACAAGCAACGCGGTCGGTGAGGATCAAACCTCACGGGCGCGGAACACTCACGCGGTGCACAAGGGAATGGCAAGGGCTTCGAAGTCGAAGGCCACCCTGAAAATCAGATAGTTCGGCTTCGACACCGTCCTGGCGGGCGAAGACTCGCAGCGCGCATCAGGGCCATCCTGCCGGCTTTTCCTAGCCGATCGAGCTCGTACCTGGGACAAGCAGGGGCGAAAAGGCCCGAGCGAAACACTTGCGCGGTGAGCTACAATCCATGCTGGGCGTTGCAGTATACAGCCGACTCGGACGAAGTGTTCGCACAATGGCGACGTCGCTCGCAGCAAGACCGACGTCGCCGACGTAGGGTCCTTGTTCGACGACCAGCAAACTAGTTAATAAGACCACGAAGCACTACGACGACCATCATGGACGGACATCGTCGACAACGCGGGGAGCTGACGAGGCCAACGTCAACCCTAGAAACGACGCCGACTTAAACGCGCTAAACCCTCACGCGAGGCCGAGGTCGAAGCAAGGTTATGTGAACTCGGCCTTCTCGTCGCGAAGGACTTCGTAGTCCTTCATCTGAAGTGTCACTATGTACCCAGCATTGCCCACAGGCACCTGGAGGGGGAATTCGGCCGCAGCCAGTTCTATCCTACCGGTCGCCATGCTAACACAACGGTATCTCGAAAGCAAAGGTGAGGAGCGCGGAGAGCTGACAGGGAGGCAGAGAAAATCAGAAAGCGAAGTTGGAAAGGAGAAATGACGGATGGAGTCGGACCCCCCCATCAAGAAATGGGCTTGGGCCGTCGGTCGCCCACTCTGCCGCTCGGGGACGAAGCAGGTCGTGGCCGAGGGCGAGCCTCCGGCTTCGGCCCGAATCGGGCCTGCCCTCAAGGAGGGGGCTCGGGGGGGAGAGGGGGCGGGGGGGGGGGGGGGGGGGTTGTGTGGGCCGTGCATGGGGTGGTCGGGGTGGCGAGGGCGAGCCACGTATCCCCTCCCGAGGGGCCAGTGATGTTGACGAGGCTGGGGTTGGGCCCTGTGAATTTCGCATCCAACCCGCCTGCCCAACGAGGGCAGCCCGAGAGGGTTACTAGGGCCTCGCGGGCAACGCGAAGTGAATGTTCGCCTCTGTGAAGGGGTTACTAGGCCCCTCGTCGCTCGCGCGCCAGTTCGCCACCCCTTGGTTGTAACGTGGGGTTCTGTAGGAATTCGGGGTGGGGGGCCGGGGCGGGGGTCGTGGGCAGAGCCCCGCCACGCGCCAGCCTGGCAGGGCATTCACGCGAGGGAGTTGGCCGCCCTGACGCTCGATTGACCGTCACCCCCTTGCGTCGCCCCAGGCAAAACGGGAGCGTCACCCCGAATTCCGTTGAGCGATTCAGCATGATATACCTCAACGCGTGCATTCCCCGCCCGTTTTCGCTGCACAGGATCGACAGGGTTCCATTTTAGTACGCCGTCCGACCGTCGCGAATTGTATGGCAGACTGAACCACGGAGCCCTAGGGAACGCCGAACGACCGTTGACATTCCCGTGGGCTGAGAAATACCCACAGAGTATATCTCAACGCGTGGCGAGTTGCCAGCAGCACACGTCGACCGCGGATGCATGACACGCGGCGGGTTACGGACGACCTGGATTATGTCCGACCTCCCTCGAATGTCGGCGTCCACACTGGCGTCCATGCGTCACCCGACCACGCCTCAAGCGTTGCGCAGGAAAGAACGCGCGGGCCGTGAGAATGTCGGTGCGTGACATGCGGCGTCAATCGGCGTCACGGGGTAAGTCTACGTGGAAGAAATCGGCGGTCAAATTGGGCGCTGAAGAGGAACAGGTGGGCACCGAAATGTCGGCGAGCATCGACCGGTGAGGCAGGGTCCAGGTGTCGAGCATCAGCGGCCTGGCACGTGCACAGGAATCAGACGTGGGGGCAGGATAAATGTTGGCGCCGGACACGCGGCGTACATCGAACGGGGATGCTGGGTCCAAGTGTCGAACATCGGAGGACTATTTCTTGCGCGGGAAAACAGAACCCGCGGTGTCTGCAAAGTCGGCGTCAAAGTATCTCGTGATGCCAATAACCGGTGGCACGAGTGCGCCATGAATGGACTCTGGACCAATGCCACAAGCCTCGGCGCGCCTTGTATTGCTGCCGTGGCATACCTTATGAAACACCTTCATGGACAGTCACGGCGGCGCTGTAGTGGCCATGCGAGAGCCGTGGCACGTCAGAGAATGCGCCGCCTCGCGTGGACAGCGGCTTGAATGCCAAGTGTACAGAACCTTGCCTGCACGGTGGCATGTGCCGAGCCGCGCACGTCCATGACCTCTCCGGAGCCAAGCTGCCACTAGCCATTTTTTCTACTCCCACTTCCTTTCATCACTTCTTACGCCTGCGCTCTCACACTTAGTTTTTTTCCACCAGGACACGCTCTGCGGAGAACACCGCGGCTCCAGCGTCTGACGCCGACCAACAGGTGAGACCGATTATCGGGGCACTGGGTTTCGTTGGTTGTAGCAGCCGATTTCACAGTTTTGTCGCCCGTTTTAAACGGGAGGCACAATCGGCCAGATCCGTGGAGAAAGGCCGAGACTGGTTTAGGGTTGCGCTGTGCGTGGTCGGCGACCGGCCTGGTGCAACGCCGCCGGAAACAAACCCACCTGAGGGGGACATCGCCGCGCAGTTGGCGCAAGCTTCTCTCGCTGCCCACTTAGAGACAGACACTAGGGTCACTAGGTCACTAGAAGCGAACACAGCGCAGCAACAGTACGCCGCCGCCGTTACCCAATACCGCCATTTTATGCCCGACCCGTAGAGCAACTCGCCGGCTGGCCCTCAGTAGACAACAAGCGCTGTTAGAACATACGGCCAAGGCCAACATGTCGGACTACGTTCTGCTGGCAGCCCAGGCGCGGGTGAACCTGACCGGTGATGCCACAACGCCGGCCGGCGTCCGCCCCACCACCATTCCGGCAGTGACGCTGCGTCTGATTTACGATCTAGATGCGTTGGCTAAAATTCCCGTCGACCCTGACATTCCACCGCCACCTGTAGGCGACCCCCAAAAGCGACGTCCTAGCCAGCCGGAGGAGGACTCTTCGTCTAGCGATGAGGAGGAGGAACCACAGCCCGGCGCGGGACGCCAACGTCGGCCGCTCACTCGAGCCAAGAGGGATCGAAGAGAGATAGAGGAGGCGTTGACCGAGGACGAACTCGAGGATAGGCTGAACGCGAGCGCCCTGCGAGGAGAGTTTACGACGGCTGAGTTTGTGGTCGAGGATCTGAAGAACAGCGACATCGAAGTGCTGATAGTCAATGCCCTTCGCCATACGGAGATGCTTGAGGAAGGGTCGTCGCTGCGGCAGTACATATCGTGGATACTAGACTACAAGCGGTGGGCGGTGGATGCTCTTCCGTCACAAGGTGACGACATGAAGCCGGGTTCCATACTCACTTACAAGGACGAAATCGGCAAGCACATCGGCGATGATTTGGGCGAACGTTGGCACACCGCCCCGCGCCAGTTCATCTGGTTGCACGACCAGAGGACCAACGAGCCTCGAATTCGCGCTTACGTCTTGTTCAGAGCGCGAGAGACCCTCATCGAGGCAATGAGGAGCGAAGAGGGCAATACCGCCATGCGCACGCAACCGATCAAGCCTTGCACGGTCAACATGCTACTCGGCCGCAAGGCCCTTCCGATGGCGGCCAAGATAGAGGCGACCCTGTACAAGGAGAAGGAGCTGTACATCATGCAGGACATCTCGGTCGTCCGCACGGAAGTGCGCGTCATGGTTCGCAGAAAGAACAAAACCGACACCAAGTAAGATGTTTTAACATCGCCGACTTTGCCAGTCCTCTCTAGTATTCCCGCCAATGCTCACCGACGCCGCTCACACTCAATCATCACCCTCGCACTCTCCTATTGTGCAGAAAATATGTCGACCGCCATCGCGGAACCATCGGCGACACTTACACCACCGAGCAGTTCCGCAAAATCATGTTCAAGGTGTTGCCGCACTGGTCGGCGACGGCGTGGAATCCGGGGGGAACATGTCCTTCCCAGACTCTGTGGAAGTTCATGCTTATGAGAATGATGACCCTGCTATCGCACCACACTCTGCTCCGCGGTGCCAGCGTACGCGAGATCATGCTCGCCGACATATTTCTGTACCGCCTTGCTAGCGGGTCGTCGATGAACCCTGACAACCGGCCAATGGTCATGGTCATCGCGCAGCGCAACTCGAAGACGTGCAAGGACGGCCGTCTTCATCACATCTACGCGGCGAGGCACTTAGAGGCGGAACTGTGTGCTGTGGGCGATACAATCCTCTGGCTGCACTTCATCTACGACCAGGTCCCCCAGATCTTCGGCGTCCGCATAATTCCGCCGCTGGACGTACGCCAACTGGAGCTCTGATACGACAAGCATCGCTTCTTTGCCTGCAATGACAAGGATAGGGGTTTGCTGCCGTCGTCGAGCCAGCAACGAATCATCCGGCACCTGTGGACGGCCAACAAGGTTTTCATCCAGCGCAACGTGCACGCCGCTCGCGCCGGCAGGGCACAAGAGCTGGCTGACCAAGGCACGCCGCGCGCCGAGATAGCCGAATTGGGTCACTGGGCTATTGACAAGATGACGAGGAGATACATCACTTCAATTCCAGTCAAGGTGGTGATGAGGAAGGCCGGCTACTCCGGAGCCCGAAGCGACTACTTCCTGGGCCGCAGCAGGCTACCTCCCAGCGCAGACCTCGAAAAAACCATCGCCGCGCACATATTTCCCGGCGTCAAGGAACAGTTGGGGGCGGTGAGTCTAGCGACGCCGTCCTCATGCATCTTGACGTCTCTCTTCACTGGTTCACACCGACATTCCTCTATTTCATGCAGGCGGAAGAGCTCGCACAAGGGCCTGGGACGAACACGGCCGCAGTGCTCTTCATCCAGACCATGCTGGATGCACGCCGCATTGCGGCCGAGGACCTTGCGGTGAAACTCGTCCGCACTCCGTGGCACCCTCAGGTCCAGGCTTCGAGGCTTTGTCAGGATCGCGACTTTCAGGCGTGGGCGAAAGACATCCAGAAGATTGACACCGAGACGATCGCCAAGCGCCGGTCGCCGATCCCGACCCAGCCAGCTGTAAGCACAAGATGAACTCCGCGTGACTTGGCGGCAAGCGTGCTTGCATCACCTGACTCCTAACCCGCTCCGCTGCTGTTCGCAGGAAGTCTCAGCCCGCCTGGACGCCGGATTTTCAGGTCGACCTTCTGAACGAGACGTTGGCCCACGAGAGGCACAAAGCGACGCTCAAGCAGATGAAGGTGGAGAAGGAGCTCGAGGAGGCGCGTGCTGCTATCGCGGCGAGGGACGCCGAGATCTCCCGGCTCATGGAGGAGCTCAAGATCTCCGAGGCACGTAGGGCGCCAGCGCCACAGGCGCCTTCTAGGCCGACGACCCTGGAAGAGGAGGCAGCTGCGGCCGCTAAGAAAGCTCAGTTGGACGCCGACGCTCACTACGAGGCCCTGGTTGTCGACCCATGGAGAAAGGCCGAGACTGTGGCAGAGGCCTGGCGCTTCTGGAACTGCCCCACCACCACGGACCGCCGGCGTCTCTACGACAGGATCAACGAGCCAAGTTTCATCGGGCGGCACAGCCTCCTGGGAAAGTCGTCGGCCAACGCAAAACAGGGTGAGATGCGCCGAATGAGGAGGGCGATGGAGGCCGTGCGCCGCTTCCGCTCGTCAGACGGAGAGGCCGACACCGCCGCCGTCATCAAGAAACTCGACGAGCTCGCTGCGTCGGGAATTGTGACCTTCTACGATGCTCTGAAGATCATCGACGCCGACGCGCTTCCGATATGCACGGAGGGGAACCTGGGCATCAAGGGGCTTTCTGAGGGTGAAAAGCCCAAGCTGACGGTTGCTTGGGGACTGGTGGCGGCGGGATACATGACGCACAAGTGGGGCGAGGACATGTTCCCAACCACGTGGGAAGAGCAGAAAGCTGTGGCGGCCCAAGCGGCCGCGGAGCAGGTCGCTGGAAGACCGCCGCCGCTGCCGACGAAGACGTCCAAGCATCGGAAGCCGGGCTGATTTTTTGTCGCCGCTTAGCTACTTTCTTTTAGCTCGATTGTGACTTTTGTTTCCGACTTTGACTGTGGATTTAATGTTCCCAACAGTTGAGAATTTGCCAAAGAACCGAAAACATGAGGGCGTTTCATGAACAGCAAATTAACCTACATGCTAGAAACACAGCAAAAGTGCACAATAAAAGTCGGCGCCCACCAAAACCCCACAATCAATTAACAATCTTGCTACACATTGCGACGTCGGTCCAGAACACAACGACAAACACAACAACAAAACCCATCTACGCGGCGTGCTTCCTCTTCTGTCCCTTCTTTCCCCTGTTATCCATATCCTTCTCCATCTGCTTGTCCAGCGGCACTTGAATGCCGCGTGCTCGGAGAAGTAGGCCGCCGGCGTTGCACGACCCCCAGAAAGCGAGGGTCTCGATAGTCGCCCTCGCGATAATCTCTGCGTCGGGTGTGGGGTCACAGCCCTTGGACGCCTTCCGAAGAGCATCCTTCTGCAGTGCGTCAGTGACGTTGCACGAGACCTCTCCCAGGACGGGTTGTCTCGCAACCGCCGTTTCTAGCACCGCAACCACGACGTCGTGACAAGTGTCAGCAAAATCGGTGCTCGCTTCACACAGCAGTGCCGCCGCCTTCGCTTCACCCGCCGCATCGCCAACCTCGGCCACGGTCTTGGCGAAGCACCAGACGGCGCAAGATGAAGCAGCGACACCTTGGCCTATGCGCTTGGCGTCTGCACCAGTTTTGGGGACGGCATCTGCCGCGACTGGCCCAAATGCCGCGCACAAGCAAGCGCGGTTGATGATGTCGCTGAGCTGGTGCTTGCGCTTGGCCGGCTCCCAACCAGTGCCGAACCACACCGCCGGCCTCAGCACTTTCATCAGCGGGGGTCCTGATGACTTCTTCTGTTTGAAGTCGGCGAGGACTTTCTAGAACCTATCACGCACGACGTTGGAGCGTGAACGTGGTCAGTCGGCGTAAAACCCCACAGTCAAACCTATATTACGCCGCTCAAAACACATCGAGTCCCACGATTCTTACCGTGCACAAAACATGGTGGTGCCGCGGGACCACATCACCGTCCACATACCCTTTGGCATCACCTTCGCCTCCTCCCACTCCGCCTTCCACTGCGTCATTTCTTCGGCTTTAACGCCGGTCATTTCGGCCAACAGGACTTGGCTGGCGTGTCCGTTGAAAATGGTCGTCGCAACGCCGTTGAGGTACGCCACTTCCATCCTGTCGTCTGATCTCCCAGTGTAGCGACTCTTTCCAGCCAGGTTTACCTCGCCCTGCCACCCGCCACCGCTCGTCCTGTCCAGCCTAATACCATGCCCCCTGCGATCTTTCGGAACGACGGCCTTTTGCGATGCGGCGGCTTTACCATTCCGTTTCTTCTTTTTTTTGCCGACTCCAGCCGCATGATCGGTCTGTCCATCCTTGTCGGCGTGTTCACCCACTGGTCCACCGGCCAGAACAGTGGACGTGCCCGCCTGACCCGCCAGGTCCGGAGCAGTGACGCCCGTCGATCTGTCCGAAGGCCCGGCCTGGTCGGCCTGAGTAGCCACTGTAACGGCGGTGGGCCGAGTGGACTCTCCCGCCAGACCAGCCTGGTCAGAACCAGTGACGCCGGTCGGGCCCGTCTGGAAGGCCCTATCCACCTGTATGAAGCCGGCAGGATGACTCAGAATGGGCGGAACAACCAAACCGGCTACACTGACGCCAGTGGACACCAAACGGGCCGGCTGCACGGTCTGCCCGGCCTGGGTGGACGCTGTAACACCGGCAGGCCGACCCTCCACGCCACTGATGCCCGACGTACCTCCCACAGACTGAAGTGCGGCAACTTCGTCTGCTTCCATCGCCGCTTGTATCAATTCCACATCCTCGTCCTCGATGATGAGAGGGATCTCCCCCGCACCATCGTCTCCTGCCACCGCGCCCCAATCACCTTGTCCAGACGCCGCGCCGACCTGGTGATGCGTTGGCACCGCCGTTGGAACCGTCTCGTTTGCCGCTTCTTGGTGTACAGGCTCCGCCAAGTTCACCATTGTCGGCGCAGTGCGCGTGCCGTGAGTCTGCGGTTGAGCGGATTGTGCACCTGCTGAAAGCGCATTGACCTCGGCCATCAGCATGTCCGAGACTGGGTTGTCAGAACATTATAGCTTATACATTTGTGTAGGCTGTAGTGGGGTAGCCCATAAGGGGTACAACCCAATAAGTGTTAGTACTTGTACCCAACTGTTTCATAGTTCATCCATTCCATTCTCACTTCTCGTCATGGTATCCAACAGGTTCCCGAGTGGGAATACTGCCTAGGGCCCACCACGAACTTTTTTTTCTTCCCTACTCGGAGCGCGCTTAGCTCCTAACCCGAGTAGCGCCTCGAGCCGCCTTAGTGGCCCCTGTTGGCCGCCCTTACTGCCCCTCGAGCCGCCCTCTACGGCCTTGCTTAGGCCGCCTACGGCCCCGTCGCGGCCCAGCTACGTCCCCGCTTAGGCCCCGCTACGGCCCCGCGACGGCCCCGTCGGCCCCGCTACGGCCCCGCTAAGGCCCCGCGACGGCCCCGTCGGCCCCGCTACGGCCCCGCTTAGGCCCCGCTACGGCCCCGCCGGCCCCGCTACGGCCCCGCCTAGGCCTCGCTTCGGCCCCGTCGGCCCCGCTTAGGCCCCGCTTCGGCCCCGTCGGCCCCGCTTAGGCCCCGCTACGGCCCCGCTACGGCCTCGTCGGCCCCGCTACGGCCCCGCTTAGGCCTCGCTTCGGCCCTGTCGGCCCCGCTTAGGCCCCGCTACGGCCCCGTCGGCCCCGCTACGGCCCCGCTTAGGCCCCGCTTCGGCCCCGTCGGCCCCGCTTAGGCCCCGCTACGGCCCCGTCGGCCCCGCTACGGCCCCGCTTAGGCCCCGCTTCGGCCCTGCTACCTCCCACTACGGTCCCGCTTAGGCCCCGCTACGGCCCCGTCGCCACCTGCGGCCCCGTCGCCCACTTCGGCCCCGTCGCCACCGCGGCCCCATCACCCACTACGGCCCCGCCCACCCTTGCGGCCCGCCGCCACCTTAGGCCCCACCGCCACCTGCGACCTCACCACCACCTGCGACCCCGCCGCCCAGCACCAGCAGCGCCGAGCAACCGAACCGCCAGCCAGCTGAGCCGCCCCCCGAGCCGCCCAACAACCGAGCCGCCCAGCAGCCGAGCCGCCCGACAGCCAAGCCGCCCAGCACCGTGCAGCCGAGCCGCCCAGCAGCCGAGCCGCCCAGCGGCCGAGCCGTCCTACAGCCGAGCCGCCCGATAGCCGAGCCGCCGAGCAGCCCGATCGCCCCACCTGCCTGGTAAGAGCACAGTCTCTGCCACTGCACTGCCTTGCCTCACAGACCTCACTGCCTGCCTACTGCTGTTATGGCTTCCCCTAGCGTTCTCACCTTTGACGCTGAGGGCCAGGCAATGGACTTCGAGGTCTGGGTAGATGATCTGCAGCTTTTCCTACATTGTGATAGGGCAGACAGCCTGTCCGTGTTTGACCTCACTTCTGGTGCCTCCCCTGCCCCTGCTGCTGATGTTGACGCCACTATTCGCTCAGAGTGGGCCACACGTGACGGTGCTGCTCGCCTTGCTGAGCGCCGCCACTTGCCGACCACTGAGCGTGCACACTTTAGCCAGTACAAGAGTGCTCAGACCTTGTACGACGCTGTAGTTGCACGCTACTCTTCCCCTGCCACTGCTGCACTGAGCCGCCTCATGCTACCGTACCTCTTCCCTGACCTTGCTGCCATTCCCACAGTCGCTGACCTCATTACGCACCTCCGCACTAGTGACACTTGCTACCGCGCTGCGCTTCCTGCTGAGTTCTGCACCAAGAACCCCCCCCCCCCCCCATGTACATCACCCTCTACTACATAATCACCCGGCTCCCTAACTCCCTTCGGGTAGTCAGGGACCACTTTCTCTCTGTTTGCCCCACCACTCTCACCGTTGACCTCCTTGAGAAGGCCCTCCTAGCGATAGAGAAGAGCATATTCGCTGTAGGAGCCTCTCGTGGTGACCCTCGCACCTCCGTCTTTGAGGGGTGTTCTCCCTCCCCCCTCTTGCCCTCTGTTGCCTCTGCTGCTGCGGCCGACCTCGTTGGTTTCGAGTCGGTCGACGCTGCGTCTACCCCGAGCGGGAGACGCCGCACCGGCAAGGGCAAGGGGGCAAGGGCACTGGAGGGGCTGGAGGGGGCGGTTGAGGTGGTGGTGGAGGCGGTGGAGGGAGTGGGGGTGGTGGTGGGAGTGGTGCTGGAGGTGGCGGCGGCAGTGGAGGCGGCGGAGGCGGTGGAGGTGGCGGAGGGAGCGGAGGCGGCAGAGGTAATGGAGGAGGCGGAGGTGGAGGAGGCTGCGGAGGCGGCGGTGGTGGAGCGAGTCACGACTCTGCGCCGAGGAGTGGCTCAGGTGGTGGTCAGCGCCAGCAGCAGCAGCGGAGTGGTGTGACCCTGTTCCCTCAGCAGCTTCGTGAGTGGTACACTGCACGCCAGCGCAGTGGGGGTTTTGGTCCCTGCTCTTACGTTCTCCGTACCGGCGACCGCACTAGTGAGCAGTGCGGAGGCCCGCACTCCACCCAGCGCTGCTTTGGTCGCCTGACGGACGCGTGGCGTCGCCAGTTCCCTAAGGCGTCAGAGATCCCTCGCTGGGGAGATCTTGCTAAGGCCGGGGTTGCTTTCTTTGATCATGACTTCGATGCTATTCTTGCTGCCATGTATACTGTTGCAAATAATGTTGAGGGTGCCTGTTACCTGTGTGTACCGCCTGACCCGGGCATTGAGGCTGCTGCGCTAGGTGCTGGTATGCCTGCTGCTCTAGGTGCTAGTGCGTTTGGTGCCCCAGGTGCTAGTGCGTCTGCCGCCCCTGGTGCTGGTGAGTCAGCTCTCTCAGGTACTACGTCGGCTCAGGCCTTCCACACCTTCACCCTGGACTCGGGTGCGTCTCGCTCCTTCTTTCGAGACCGCACCACTCTTACGCCGCTTAGTCGGCCAGTTGCAGTCTCCCTTGCAGACCCCTCTGGGGGTCCTGTCCTTGCTAGCTTCTCCACTATCCTTTCGTGCCCGGCAGCCCCCTCTGGCATCCTGTCTGGTCTCTAGCTCCCCTCGTTCTCTACGAACTTGGTGAGTGGAGCGGACCTACAGGATCGAGGGGTTGACCAGTTCACTCCTGCCAGTCAGCGAGTGACCCACTGCACGTGTGCTCGGACAAGCCGACATTTGGCCACGTTCACCCGTCGGCCAGGGTCGAGCCTGTACACCCTTACTACTGAGTCTCCTCCTACTGCTGAGTCTGCCCAGGTAGCTGCGTCGAGTCAGGTGTTTGCTGCGGCATCCAGGTGTGGTCCTGAGTCTGCCCCGTGCTCGTGTCGTCTGCTGTCCCACCAGACTCTCCTTTGGCACCACCGCCTTGGTCACCCCTCCTTGCCTCGTCTCCAAGGCATGGCCTCCCGTCTCCTTGTCTCTGGTCTTCCTCGGTCTCTCCCTCCCCTTCCTCCGGGGCCTGGCCCTACCTGCGTCCCATGCGTCGAGGGGCGACACCGCGCCGCCCCTCACTCCTCCAAGTTTCCTCCGACAGAGGCTCCGCTACACACCCTCCACATGGACGTGTGGGGCCCAGCCCGTGTCAGTGGGCAGGGGAGAGAGCAGTACTTTCTGCTGGTAGTTGACGACTACTCGCGTTACACCACAGTCTTCCCCTTGCACAGCAAGGGTGAAGTCACTGAGGTGTTGATCCACTGGATCCGCGCAGCTCGTCTCCAGCTCAGAGAGAGTTTCGGCTCGGACTTTCCTGTTCCGCGTCTGCACTCGGACAGAGGCGGGGAGTTTTCCTCTGCCCGTCTGGGAGCCTTCTGTCATGCCCAGGGCATCCGCCAGACCTTCACGCTTCCGGCCTCTCCACAGCAAAATGGGATTGCTGAGCGCCGCATTGGCATGGTCATGGACGTCGCGCGTACGTCCATGATGCATGCGGCTGCCCCCCATTTTCTGTGGCCGTTTGCGGTTCAGTACGCCGCGCATCAGCTCAACCTTCAGCCCCGGGTCTCCTTGCCACAGACCTCCCCTGCCTTGCGGTGGACCGGGAAGGTTGGCGATGCGTCTGCGTTTCGGGTCTGGGGATCTCAGGCGTTTGTCCGCGACTTATTTGCGGACAAGCTGTCCCCCCGTGCTGTTCCTTGCATCTTCCTTGGCTTCCTCCCCGACGCGCCTGGCTGGCAGTTTTACCACCCCACCACGCGCCGTGTTCTGTCCTCCCAGGACGTCACCTTTGACGAGTCGGTGCCTTACTACCGTCTCTTCCCCTACCGCACTGCGCCCCTCCCCCCGCCGACGCTCTTCCTTGCACCAGGTGCTACCCAGGTAGACCCCCTTCCTCTTCAGGGTCCTGCCCCTTCAGGTGTGTCCCAGGTAGACGCAGTCAAGCCTGTCAAGGTAGCTGTTGACTCTGGTGCTGCTAGAGGTGCTGAGCCTGCGGGTGCCGGGTCTGCAGGTGCCGGGTCTGGGGGTGCTAAGTCTGGGGGTGCTGAGACTGGGGGTGCTGAGCCTGGGGGTGCTGAGTCTGAAGGTGCTGAGCCTGGGGGTGCAAAGCCTGGGGGTGCTGGGTCTGCTCGTGTGGCCGAAGGCGGTGCTTCGTCGAGGCGGGAGCCGCTCTATCCACAGGAGCTACGCGAGTGGTTGGCCCGCCACTGGAGACGTGCTGCTGAGTCTGGGGGTGCTGCTGGAGCTGCTGTCGGTGCTGGTGCTGCTGGAGGTGGAGCTGCAGGGGGTGTTGGCGCTGGTGTTTTCTGGTGCTGGTGCATCTGGGGGTGCTACTGAGGCAGCTGGTGCTGACGGTCCTACTGGAGTTGGTGCTGCTGGAGCTGGAGCTGCTGGGGGTGTTGGCGCTGGCGATGCTGCTGGCGCTGGTGCTTCTGAGGGTACTGAAGTTAGCGCTGTTGGAGCTGGAGGTTCTGCTGGCGCTGGTGCTGCCGCTGGGGGTACAGGTGCCGTCCTTGCTGGTTCTGGAGGCGCTGAGCGGCCGAGGCCGTACTTCGTTCCGTTCCTGGAGCAGGTTCTTAGTCTCCCTCCCTCTCCTGGTCCTGCTCCTCCCTTAGAGTGTCGACAGCCTGTCCAATCACAGTCACAGTTACAGCCCGCCTCCCCGCTACCTGCTCCTTCTCCCTACACTGGTACTACTGGAGGTCTTGCACAGCGTCGTGAGCCTGCGTCTCCTCCTACGTCGCCTGTTCGTGCTGCTCGCACTAGTCGTCATGCTGCGCGTCTGCGTCCTCTTGCGGTCCCCGTCACATACCAAATGGCACTACGGTACATCCGTCCACTGCTCCTCTACGTGTCCCTTTGTCGTCTCCTCCAGAGTCCTCTCTTCCTTCTCTTGCTGACCCGGAGTCTGACTCCCTTCGTGCTGCTAGTCCTTCGGTCACGCGCCTTCTTGCTACTGTTGTCAATGACCCTTCCTTTGAGTCCACTGCTGCGTCTGCTCTAGTTGTTGAGCTTGTCGACTTCGCTCCTCGCTGTCGTCTAGACTACGCTGCCAGTCTTGTTGCTGAGTCTGAGTCTGTCTGTCCTCCGTTCGTCAGGGGTGAGTGTGCTCTTAGCACGCACGTCCTTGAGGATAGGCAGGAGGAGTTCCAGTGCTTTGCGGCAGCTTTGCCCCATCTCGTGTCCACGCTGATTGCCCCTGAGGGAGACCCGGATGCACCAGACATCCCGACTCCTTGATCGTACGCTGAGACGATCGAGGGTCCCTACTCCTCTTAGTGGCAGTCGGCGATGGACGCAGAGATGGTTTCCTAGAAGTCCACAGGCACCTACGTCGACGAGGTTCCCCGCAGGCACGCGCGGCAGTTCCCTGCCTCGGCGGTGCTGGGCCCGTCGACCTCGTCCGTCGTCCCTGGCAAACTGGGCCGCCGGAACTCTGTCGGATGAGCTATTCAGTAATTCAGTACTTCCCTCTTTATTGAGGAGTATCTGGTGGAGCCGGGGACTGTACAGGCTCAGTTCTGCCATCATACAAATTCACTAGGACTTCACTCACAAGCATTGTCTTTAGGGTATGTGGATTAATGACAGCAATTCCATGCAAATATCTTATTGGAAAACCATCTGGTCCGGATCCCAAATCACAACTACCCCCCCCTTGTCTTCATAGTGTCCCTTGGACCGCAAGCCTTCCTAAAACATTTCCAGAGCTAGCACACCCCCTAATGCAGACTCTTATGTTGTTGCTTGTGATCTCAGCTGCGCCTGAAGCTCCGGAGTCCACATGCCTTGGATGCTGGGCCGTGTTGATTCGTGCCGCGACTTCAACTTGACCACCTTTCGCCCCGTGGAGTTCCGCAGCCTTAAAGCCTGGATGAGAATGGTCTCTGCCTCCTGATTCTTCACATCCACCACCCTCTCCCTCCCGTTCACTGCATGGCGTAGCGTGGCACGGGCCGGGAGGAGGGCAGAACGTGGGGATTGGAACATGAATCAGTGCGGCAACCAGCATGGAAGTTAGGGGGAAGTGGTGAGGGATAAGTGTGACAAAGATATGCACATGCACATGCACATGCCAGCACACACATGCATGCACATGCGCTCCCGTACACAGAAAAACGCACATGCACACGCACACAGACACACATACACACACACGCACATACCGTATTGCGCATGCAGGTTTGGGTGCTTGCCCCTGTTAACAACGGTCTCTACTGCCAGCTGCGGATTGCCCTCTTTGAATTGCGGCAGGAGGGATGCCACAAATTCCCTGCAGCATGTGCAAGCAGGCAGGCAGGCAGAGGGAACGTGAGGGGACGGCAGTGAGGAGGAGTGTGAAGGGGGCACCAGTGCGACAGTCTCCACCGCCAGACGCGGATTGCCCTCTTGGAACTGCAGCACGAGGGAGGCCACAAACTCCCTGGCACAGGCAGACCAGAAGATGCCACAGCACAGAAACGTTACTGCAAAGGGATCATATGTATCGCCAGCTGCAATATGTTAACGGATATGTATGTGGAATGAAACAGTTCTCACTAGGCGTCTCAATATAAAGAAAAGGGAGACTTCTGAGGCGACTCGAAAGTCACTGCAGGAGAAAAAGAGGGTGAGAATGAATCCAGACGGAGAAGAAAAATGAGACGACTCCTGCTGTTAAGGAGTGGACCCGTGTTTTGAGTCGACTCAAAAAACGAGAGGCAAAATGAGACGACTCCTGCTGTGAAGGAGTAGACCCCTCTGCTGTGGTACAAATGGGAGAAGGCAGGAAGACACACTATCGCAGGTGGAGTGGAGTGGAGTAAAGGGTTGAAGTGGGTTCTGAGGACACTCAAAAGCCCACCTGCAACAAGAGGAACAAGCAAGGTGCGCATCACATGCTGGGGATTGGCCCCTGGGTGATTGCAGTAGGAGAAATGGATCCTCACTGTTTCTGGAATCGATTCAGAAATCAAAGTTCCGAAATACGTCAGAGGTACAAACTCCCTACACTACACCATACCGCCCTCCACTATACCTCTCTCCACCATACCGCGCGTGGCTGTTGACTCGCGGCGCGTCGAAAGTCGCACGCGCGTGCGTGTGAACCGTCCCCGAATCGCGAGCACGGAAGGGGCTCTAGTGAGGGCTCAGGCCACTCTGATCGATCGAGAATATGCTTGTCTCAGCGCGCACACGGCACTCACGCGCTCAGAGAGGGCGCTCAAGGAGAGCGCTCAGGGTGATCAGGGCGCTCAGGGCGATAACTCAGGGCACCTCGGGGCAACCCAGGGCACCTCAGGGTGGATCCAAAGCAAGGAGCGAGGGCTCAGGGCACTCTAATCATTCGAGGGAATCGCAGATCCGAAGCAGCATCGTGGTTACGGGCAACGGCTGGTTTCGAATGATGAAACGAACGGGAAAATGCTGCTTGCTTTAAATAAGCGCAACGGGATACCGAAGGCGCATCTCTCTTTCGAATAAAGGCCCACCTCGCGCCGCGGCTACTGCCGGAGAAGTCACAGTGGTTGACGACAAGCCGTCGGAGCTGCCACACTCCTCGCACCGCCATCTTGTAACGAAACCACTCTTAACGCGGAACCCTTGCGCCAGGGTACGTAACGGCAACGGTCGCGTGGGAAGGGAACGTCACTACAGGGCAAGTCGCGATCGCAAACTAATCAGCTGCGCGAGAGCTGCAAACGAACTACTGGCGAAGACCGCGACGCGTGGAGCAGATGGGAAAGGGAAGGCGTGGGAGGGGAGAACAATGACGGGCGGTTATTATTTCACACATATTTCCCTCTTTCCACCTTTCCTTCGGCCCTCCTCTTCTTCTCCAACTCTTCTCTCCTTAGGGCGCGTCACCTCGAATTTCGAACAGAGCCCCTTGTTCGAACAGGCGACAAGTTACCTACATCGCAAAATCTCGCAATACATACATTGCAATACATACAGAGCTGTCACATCCAGCACGAAGGATTTCACGTATGGTGTTCGAATGAGGCCGTTCGGATGTTTTGCAGGATAAGCGCCCACGACGCCCGCGAACAGCACGAAAAATGTTTCCGGGTATCTATGTACTGCTTTGTAATGTTCGTAATGCAATCAAAACCTTTTGGCGATTGTTAAGTGACGTCGCACGGTGGGCGACGCTGCATTTTCGAACACACCTGTCACTTCATGTGACACTCTGTCACCTTTCGCCAGATTCTCGTCTCTTGTTCGAACACCAAAATGGTGGGGTTTGGGCACCGAAAAAAAATGACAGCGTTCGAATTTTGGGTACTTGCTTCAGAGGTGACGCGCCCTTATCATCCTTGTTCCGTACACGTGTTCCCTCTCTCAATATGGGATGAGCGCATTATCTTGATAGGATAGTAATCCGTTAGAAATAAAATGTGAAAACTTGGGTAAACTCATGTTCAAATGCTTTGTACAGACCTTAGTAGAAGCAAAACAGAAATGGCTTCATTACTGTTATTGATTGTGTATTAAAAAGGAACAAAAAAACCGCACGGAAATAATGATTTGTGAGGGTTTGAACGAACCGAACTCCACACGAGAAAAAATGCCCCCAAACTCTCACACAATTCGACTCTTCCACTTGTTTGCCGGTCTGGCAATGACTTGTCGATTCATGTTGTTATCGAAGCTCACTTATAACCTTATATGTACATTGCAATCATTCAGCGTTTCGCAGTGACTAGGCAAAAAACCATGAAAAGCAAGCAGCAAAGAATGAACATGCCACAGCTGGATACAGCATACAAGTGTATCACATCACAGTGTTTTTCTCAGCAGTGGATGCCGCGCGGGCTTGTGCAGCCTAGATGCTATGAGCTCCTCAACCGCTATCCTCCTCACCGTGTGAAAGTCAATGTCCGCGTACCGACCCCTGCACGACACAGCATGGGAGAATCAGCAGGGTGTGTGAGTAAACATAAGTATCCTTTGTGCAGGCTTGAGGCAATCAGCCCCTCCACCGCTATCCTCCTCACCGTGTGAAAGTCAATGTCCACGTACCGACCCCTGCAAGAAACAGCATGGGAGCGCCAGCAGAGAGGGTAACCAGTATCAGTATGTGAGTGAACTCAAGTATCTGCTCTGTGGAGTGTCGCTGCAATATGTTCCTCCACTGGTATCCTCCTCACAGTGTGAAGGTCAATTTCCGCGTAGCAGCCCCTGAAAGAAGCAGCACGGGAGAACCAGCAGCAGCGGACCAATGCAGGTGAAGAATGTAACCATTCAAAGGAAAAGAATGTGGAACTGATATGAAGTGGCACTTTGTGTCTTGACAGTGAGCTTGGTTCACGAGAAGCAGTGAATGGGCCTTCGTCGACTCAAAACACAGCTTCATGGGAGTTGGCACTTAGTGGCTTGACAGCAATGTTGGCGCACGAGAAGCAGTAAATGAACCCTCTGACTCGACTCACCAGAAGTGATGTTTGGACCAATCAGAAGCCGGGAAGGCCGGGCTGGTCAGGCCGTGGAGGATGCGGGAAACGGCTCGCGCGTTGACAGGTGGCGCATCGGGATTGGCTTGCTGGCAGCGCAGAAACACCTGGAGATTGGAGGAAAGAGAAGGACAGGTGGAAGATGTGGGAGATTGGCATGACTATGGATGTGTGAGATTGGCATGACTATGGATGTGTGAGATTGGCATGACTATGGATGTGTGAGATTGGCATGACTATGGATGTGTGAGATTGGCATGACTATGGATGTGTGAGATTGGCATGACTATGGATGTGTGAGATTGGCATGACTATGGATGTGTGAGATTGGCATGACTATGGATGTGTGAGATTGGCATGACTATGGATGTGTGAGATTGGCATGACTATGGATGTGTGAGATTGGCATGACTATGGATGTGTGAGATTGGCATGACTATGGATGTGTGAGATTGGCATGACTATGGATGTGTGAGATTGGCATGACTATGGATGTGTGAGATTGGCATGACTATGGATGTGTGAGATTGGCATGACTATGGATGTGTGAGATTGGCATGACTATGGATGTGTGAGATTGGCATGACTATGGATGTGTGAGATTGGCATGACTATGGATGTGTGAGATTGGCATGACTATGGATGTGTGAGATTGGCATGACTATGGATGTGTGAGATTGGCATGACTATGGATGTGTGAGATTGGCATGACTATGGATGTGTGAGATTGGCATGACTATGGATGTGTGAGATTGGCATGACTATGGATGTGTGAGATTGGCATGACTATGGATGTGTGAGATTGGCATGACTATGGATGTGTGAGATTGGCATGACTATGGATGTGTGAGATTGGCATGACTATGGATGTGTGAGATTGGCATGACTATGGATGTGTGAGATTGGCATGACTATGGATGTGTGCATGGGTGTGAGCGTGAAAGCAAGCATGCAAGTGTGTGGGTGAGCATTTGTATGAAGAACTGCACACACCTCCATGCCCCCCTGTAAATGCCTCCCACCTTGATGTCACTCAACCTTATGTCACTCACCGTTACCTCTATTTCCCACTCACTTTGATGTCACTGCGGAGGAATTGACTGATGAGAGGCAAACCCCGAACGAAGCCAGTCACAAGCCCGATGGTGCATGCACAGGCAGGGGAAGGAGGAGAGCAGGTATGGAGACACGTTCCACAGAGTCAGTACGAAGGTAGCAGAATATGTGTTTAGAGCTTTATGCACATGTCAGGTGTGTCTGCATGCAAGTGTTTAAGCATGCAAGTGTTTAAATGCAAGTGTTTAAGCATGCAAGTGTTTAAGCATGCATGTGGCGCAACCATACACATGCGTGCACTCATCGTCCACACACTCCTGCATGCATGCATACATTGAATTTTTGTGCATTCTAGTGTGTGTCCATGCGTGCGGCCATTGCTCACACGTGGCTGAAACAATCATGTGCAAGCAAGGGTGTGTGCAAATCACAGGTAACCAGCTATCTTACCTCGCAGTGGTGACAGGAGCAGGAGCAGCAAGCAGCGGCGGCACGGACCCATCTGGGGAGTCAAAGTAAGCCGCGATGCAGCGCTGCAGGAGGGCTGTCTGCCTGCCCGCCTGCGATCTGCTGCTCTCCGGTTCAGCTGCCCGTTGTGGTGCTGCTGGTGGTGCTGCTGCTGGCGTTGCTGGTGGTGCTGCTGGTGGTGCTGCTGCTGGCGTTGCTGGTGGTGCTGCTGGTGGTGCTGCAGGTTGTGCTGCTGGGAGCTGGGCTGCTGCGACTGCAACAGCGTACATGGCATCAAGCTTGCCCACCTGATGGTGCAGGAAGGGGGCCACAGAGTTGTTTTTTCAGAATTGTCCGGAGCCACCTTGCATGCATGCACACACAACGCTGCGACTGCTACAGCGTACATGGCATCAAGCCTGCCCACCTGATGGCGGAGGAAGGGGGTACAAACGGTTGTTTATAAAGACTCGTCAGAAGTCACCTCCTTGCATGCACACACACGATGCTGCGACTGCCACAGAGAGCGCATGGCATGAAGCTGTGCAAACCAGGTGGGGGGTGTGTTGGTGCGTGTCTTGACTCAGAAATCTCAAAGCTGGACTTAGGCTGCTGCAGTGGCCACATCGGCCAGTCAGTGGCGATTTGCCATAGTGGAGTTACTTTTGAGAATTCTCAAAAGTGCCTGGTACTCCCGGGTACCCACTCGAAGTAGCCTAGTTCACGCGGTAACGTAACATGCGTTTGTATCACTGTTGACCTTTTGACAGCCGCCAGTCGGTGACAGATGGATGCAGCTAGAGAGCAGAGGCTCTTGGGGGCGCGATAGAGGAGTTGCTGTGAACCAGCTCACACTGCTTTAAACAGGACTAGCTCACGTTGGCAGCCTAACATGCGAGCGACTCACCGTTGATCGCTCAACAGCCGCCAGTCGGTGGCAGATGGATGCAGCTAGAGAGGAGAGACTCTTGGGGCGAGACATGAGCTGCACGCACAAGGAAGGTTCCAGGAACTCGCACACGATCTCCCCACACCTCTGCTTGGGATAAGGGGAGAGAGGAAGAATCGAGGGGAGAAGGCGAAGGTGAAAGAGGAGAGGGAGAAAATAAGAAGAATCAAATCGATTTGTCACCTCACATAATTGGTGATGTTTCAACCACCCACCCTCTTACCTGTCTACCTTAGGCTACCCCCAACCCATGACATACCTGCAGGTCTCTCAACGCAGCAAGTAGCATGTTGAGCGGCATGACTAAGAATCGATTTTATAACCAGATTTATCCGTCAGAAAAAAGAAGATGCTTGACTTACTACTTGTGTACCTTAGCGGGATCGATCCCCCACCCATGGCATACCTGCAGGTCTCTCAACGCAGAAAGCAGCATGGGCAGCGGCATGCGCGCATGATTGGCCAGCGGTGCCAGCTGGATGGTGTACCGCCCATTGCGGGGGGTGGGGTTAGTCCTGAGGGAAGGCAGGGGGAAGGCAGGGGGGAGGCAGGGGGGAGGCAGGGGGAAGGCAGGGGGGAGGCAGGGGGAAGGCAGGGGGGAGGCAGGGGGAAGGCAGGGGGGAGGCAGGGGGAAGGCAGGGGGAAGGCAGGGGGAAGGCAGGG